TTTTAACCAGCCACTTTGTCGTTTCGGTCCTTCTGCCTCTACAGAAGGTTCCTTTAGGTTGATCGTGCACTTGGCATTGGTCTCCCTGTACCACATCCCGAATATTATTTGATCCCAATCAGTCAGAGGCACTCGCCCCTGCCGACACCGGGTTAGAGCCCCGCTGGGTCCCTGTCCCATCCACGCCACTCAGGGCCGCCAGCGCATTGTTTCCTTCAACCCGGTTTCATCGGCTCCACCGAACGAGATGGTACTGATCAAGGACATAACGCAGAGGGATAATCAGGACGGGCTGACAGTGCCAACAGGAAGATTATTCCAAGACAGTGATTTAAGTGATTCGTTCACCAGTGCTTTTTCAAACACATCATGTAAGCATCTGCCTGCAAAAAAAAAAAAAAAAAAAAAAAAATAGCGGGGAATTTAACATAAGTCCTTTAAATAAAAAGAGGACTAAAGAGATTTGCTCGCTAAAACGACCCAGGGGCACGCCGAGATTTGTCACTAAAGTGCTAACTTCTAAACTCAGAACCAAACTGAATCCGAGGGGCTTTTAATATGCAGTCTAGTGCCAAGAGACATGTTGCTGGAAGGACCCTCGGTTAGACATTGGATCCCAACAGATCTGTGCGATCCTTTCCTGCTGCGCTTCTCGCCGTAAAATTAGTAGGGAGAAGAAAACTATGCGGGTCGCCCTGGCCGCCTGCTGGAACTTCAGCCAGTGGAGCTGGTAACACAAAACAGCGCCTTATTGCTTTGAAATGGGCAAGAACCAGCTGCTGAGTTTCTCCTTTTACCAGCCGAATTCACTAAAAATATATTTTTCTATAATAAACAGGACTCACATTTAGAAGAGCCTGAAGTGATTTCAGTGTGGGCCATAGCGGTGTGGGGGCCAGGTCTTGCATAAGGCGTAAGCTAAAGAGAAAGAGGGAGGCACAGAGGAAGAGCCCAGCCAAGCCCCCACGCCCGGGGAGCCAGACGGTAGTGGCAAGATCAGGTCACGAAGTATTTCCTCTTGTCACAGAGAAAGCGAGGCAAACGATTCTCCCGACATCAATAAAAATAATAATAAAAAAAAAGAGACCGAAACAACCGCTTTACTCCGAGCGAGATCCCTCTTTTTAACGCCCCGTGTTCCCCGCGGGACACGGCGGGTGCGGGGGTCGCGGGCCGGCTCTCCCGTGGGCGCCCGCTGCTTCCCTCGGGGCATGCGTTTGAGCGCTCGCTCCGTCTGCGTGCGCTGTCCCGCGCCCTGAAAAGTCTGGCCTGCTTGGGAAAAAGCCAGGGGAAGGTACAAATCACCTGGGGAATTACTCGCTTCACCCTTCCTGGGTGGGGGGAACTGCCTAATTTCCCTTTTGGTTTCCGACCCTCTCCATCCACCAAGCCTAGCGACCATAACAAGCGCCCAATTTGCGGCAAGCTCTCCCTTTTCCAGAGCACCTCCGCCCCCGAGCACCCAGGTGGGAACATACCTGTCCCTAGAGGAACTGCCCCCGTCGTGGCCGGCCCGTCGGGGCACCGGGGGGGCGGCGGGGAGGAGGCGGGCGGTGAACACCGACACGCGGTGCAGCCCGGCAGCCGCTGCAGCTCTCAGACCCCTTGCTGCTCTGCTTCGCTGCAGACCGACGGATTTCCACACCGACGGGGGGGACCTGTCACTGCCTTTAGCCGGGGAAGAAAGATTCAATGCCGCTTTTTTCTTTTTTTTGGAAACGTCGTACTCGGCCCTGAGAGCGGAGCGGGGAGAGGGGCACGGAGGTGCCGGGACGGCCGGCGGAGAGAAGCTCTGCGGGGTTTGTCACCGGCCTCGGGGATTGCACGTCCCTGCTCGTCCCTTGGAGATCAAACTGCCGGGGTGGAGTTAAACTAGGGACTTCGTTTTATTTTATTTTAAAATAAAATGTGTGGGTCCGTCCGCACAGGAGAAAACCCGTCTGTCTTTGCTCTGTTAAACCATCTGAGCTTTCGCTCTATCCCACAAGAATCTTTACTTTCTGAGTTTTTGCCTTGATCCGTCTCCGATAAGGAAGGGAGTGAGTCTCGCCTGGACCCCCAGAGCATCCCCTTCCCTCTTGGGCGATGAAGGGGACTCGGCTCCGGCCGCCTAATCCTCACCGGGCTGGGGCGGACTGATGGGGTGGGCGCCTTGCTTGGGATCTGCGGAGGGTGAGACACCTACTGCCCCTCTCCTTTCCTAACCAAAGGGAAAAAGAAAAAACGTTGCCCTCCTCTGCACACTCTTCTTCGGGAGATGCGAGTCGGGACAGCCGATCC